TATCTCGAGAGTATAAAACCCTTCTTCTGGCCTTCTTACTCTAAGTCTAATCCTGTTCAAAGAGGAAGGCGACAGGCAGGATTGCGACCTGTAGAACCGCAGCAAGACACTATAGGAAGTATGTCGAACGATTGCAGGAGCTCTGTCGGAACTCAGGAGGAGTTCTGGAGGCAGGGAACTGAGAGGTAACTATTTGTTTTCCCTCTATAAACCCAGCTATAACCCCTATCTGCACTTCTTGCTATGGTTGACTGAGTATACTGACTGCATCCCTACTTTGACTTGGTGTTTGACTTTCAGGACACAAACCAAATTTAAGTAAAGGAATGTTAGTGTAATTGCAGTTTCAGTTTTGTTGTTTGACTGAAAGCAGATTGTGGAAAGGGATTGCATATGAGGGAAAGGTGGGAGGAAGGTTGTATTGCCCGAGTTTGGCTGGGTCAACCAAAGGCTGGGAGAGTCTCCATAAGTTTGGAGGAGCCAGTGCTATGTTTATTTTCGATTGCCTGGAGGACCAGACAGGTTCCCATAAGATTGGGTGGTCTGGTTGCTCTGACTTGCGAGGGCTGTTTATGTTTGACTTTCAGGAACCAAGCAGGCTTCCATAAGATTGGATGGCTTGGTTGCCTTGTTTTTTTTGAGGTTTTCTTATGTTTTATTGGTCTCTGAAAGAAAGTTGGGCATGTTCCATAAGATTGGATGACTCTGACTCTCTCCTGTTTTATTCTGAGGGGAATTCAGGCAAAGGACTGGACAAGTTCCCATAAGATTGGGAGGTCTGGTCTAGAGCCACGCACATGTTGAAACCAAAGGGATAAATTTGTTTATATTTTATACTATTTTATTAATCAACAGGCGTTGGGGTTTTCTTATGTTTTATTGGTCTCTGAAAAAAAGTTGGGCATGTTCCATAAGATTGGATGACTCTAACTCTCTCTTTTTTTATTATGAGGGGAATTCAAGCAAAGGACTGAACAAGTTCCCATAAGATTGGGAGGTCTGGTCTGGAGCCACGCACATGTTGAAACCAAAGGGATAAATTTGTTTATATTTTATACTATTTTATTTATCAACAGGCTAGTCAAACATGTTTCCATGAGATTGGATGGTCTGACTATAGCTTATCACCAACTGAAGAGAGTATGAATTAAGAACAAACTTGTGGTAAGAAGGGGCAGACTGAACCTTGATCTAAGATGATCGGTTCAGTCATATGCTACCTTAAAAAACTAAGTGCAGACAATTATATATAACTTGGATACTTTAAACAGTTCAGGGCGACTAGGTTGGACAACCTAATCATATGCCCATTGAAGCGAAAAGTTGTAGTGCCCTGTGTTTGTGTATATCCAGTGGCTGAACTAGACAGGTTTCCGTAAGATTGGATGGTCTAGCTTTACGCTGTATGTAAGCTGGGTATAAGGGATAAATCATTGAAAGACTACGAACTATTGTGTTGACCAGGTTGACTTGGGGCTGGTGAGAGTACTTACTTTTATGGTTTGGCCTTGCATGTGGCTGAGTGAGATTACTACTTAGTCTGAGTTTCCAATTGATAGGTAGTTGCTTTAGATGCTCGCCATGTGCTAGAGCCATAGGAGTTAGCTCAATTCTTGAGCTAAGTTTTTTTTTACTTACGTTAATTTTCACATTTTTTGGGATCATTTGTACAAGTCTTGGTGAGCTACTTTCTCTACGGGAAGCGCCGCCGAAATTTTTACGAAACGAAGGGGTTAGTCAAATCTGAACTTTATGGTCACCTTTTCGTACGTCGGTTCCTTGGTCAACTCCGACTCTTTCCACGGAGTGATTTCTTCTTCCCCCATGGCTACCTGGCTGGGTCGGTGCAGTCGCGTCAACCCGTCTGCGTTTCCGTGCTTTTCCGTTTCCTGATGAACGATGTCAAAATCATACTCCTGTAGTAGCACAACCCATCGTCCAATCATCCCCGTATAGTTGGTGAGCCTTTTGAGAGCCAATAGGGGTTCATGGTCCGTGACGAGGAGGAACTTTTGCCCATATAAATACGGATGGAAATGTTGGATTCCCCAGATGACCGCGTAGCATTCACCTTGAGGGGTCGCGTCGTTCCGTCGTTCATCAAGTACCGTCCGCGAGGCGTATTCGATGACATGTTCTCGACCGTCCTTCCCCTTCTGCGCCAGAATGGCGGAGATCGCCTCGGGCTGCCAATCCGTGATGAGTATAAACTGTTTATTGAGATCGGGTCGAATCAAAATATGCGCTGAGGCCAATACCTCTTTCAAAGTGGAAAAGGCCTGTTCACACTCCGCGTCCTAATTGAGCGGTTAGTCCTTTCGTAGGAGGTTCGTCAGAGGCCGAGCGATTGCCGCAAATCTCTTGATAAATCGCCGGTAGTATGAGGCCAGTCCCAGAAAGGCTCGAACCTGCGTTAGTGACGTAGGTGTGGGTGCGTCCCGAACCATCTCGACCTTCCTCGAATCCGGTCTCAAGCCTCCTCGGGTCACTAGGTACCCTAGGAACAAGATCTCAGAGAGGAAAAATTCACTTTTCTCCAACGCAATCTTGAAACCAGCATCTCACAACGCTCCAAGCGTCCATTCGATATGTTGTGCGTGTCCGTGAAACGACTTAGAGTACACCAGAATGTCGTCCATATACACAATGACGCAAAAATTAATCATTCCCTGGGTCAGCCTGATCTTGCTAACAAAATTATGGAAGGTGACGTTCATTGCTCTCTTGAAAGTAGCTGGTGCATTGCATACTCCTATGGGATAACGAACCCACTGCTCGGTGCCTTCGAACAACACAAACGCCGTCTTCGGCCGGTCCTCCTCCTTGACTAGGATATGATGAAACGCATGACGGATGTCGAACTTACTTACATAGTTGGCACACCCAATCGCTTCTAGCAAATCATCAATTGGGGGAAGAGGGTACAAATCTTTAATTGTGATATCATTCAATTTCCTGTAATCAATGCATATGCGAATCGACCGGTTCTTTTTTGGGACTAGAACCACGGGGAAGGACCAGGGCCCTGTAGTCGGCTCGATTTATCTGTTAGCCTCAAATTCTCGGATTCGTTCCAATGTCGTTCTTCGTTCCGCAAGGGAATAACAGTATGATTTGCAATGGCTCCGCGGATGCGTTCTTGTTTGGATTTCGTGTTGGATAACTAAGGACAGTCTGATGTCCGTATCCTCGATGCTAATTACCCCTTGATATTCAGACAGGATGTTGGCGATAAGGCGATGAGTTTCGTCGGGCACGTAATGGGGCACATGCAGCTCGTATAATTGTCCATGGATGCTAACCGTCACTTGTTTCGTGCAAACCTTTGCACCGTTCCGTGGTGGGGGAGACAAAATGAACGAATTGTCCGATTGCCAGGAAAACACCGTGACGACCATCTGAGCGTCTTCTTCTCGGATCGCCACGTGTTCCTCTGGCGTAACGCCATCCTCGATGTCTCGGGGGCTCACAGGTCTCTCAACAATCCTTATCCCGATTTCAGAGGGCGAGAGATCGCCACGCCCAGAGGGTTCCAGAGCTTCCTTCTCGGTGCCCTGTCGCAATAACCGAATCTCCTTTCCTGCAGAGAGCAAGGAGCGAGGTAACCCCGTAATGTCACAGAAGGCTCTCTTGTCGCTGTATCTTGGGAAAAGCGGGGTGGTGGCTTCGTATAGGGTTCGAGGGGGTTCCCAAGAATCGGTCATTCGAGACACCTGTACTACTGGTTCTCCCAAGATTAGGGCCTGCGTCCGTCGGAGGTTTCGTTCCGAGAGGACAAACGTTTTCATTGTTTTCTGTTGAATCGGGTAGCGAATCAGTCGGTGCGCCATGTCCAGGATCACAGGGTCCGCTTCCTCCCGACTGTCAGAAGTGTTGGGTGAAGAATCGGGCCCTTCCTTTCTCATGTCAGATTTGTTAGCGGGTTCTTTCCAGGTGATCACGTGGAGTGGTCCCCCAATTTCGGGGCGAACTTTCCGAACTGCAGGTAATTTTCGGAGAGTGAGTCGCATTGGGATGGCGTACGGTTTTTCATACGTATTCCTGAGGATAATCGATCGTTTCCCGAAATCTAAGTTAGCCTAGAGCGCAGTGAGGGTCAATAGTCCGATAAGGACATCATACATATTCATATTCAATACTACGACATCCCCCAAGGCATGGACTTTTCCTAATCTGAAAGCGACATTCGTCATCCTTCCTACCACTTTGATTTTCTCCTCGTCAGTGGAGATAAGGTGGTCCCCTTCTGTTAACGGGATCAAATCTTTCTTTCTCCTTGCTCGTTCTACCACCTTCAGGGAGATGGCTAAATCCACGGCCCCTGAATCGATGATAGCGCTGTACGGGACTCCCCAAATTTCCACATCGCATTTCGCGGATTTCCACGGGATGACCTTGATACGCAGGAAGTGGTCGTCTTTTTGGATCAGCCTCAGTCATATTGGATTCGAGGTGCTCCTTCATTTTTAATGCAATACCACCCATTTCACTTAAACGAACTGTTCGAACACGGTCATAAGTAGTACCTGCTAAAAAGAATAAGCTAGCACCAATTAAGCCATGAGAAATCATCTGACAAATTGCACCACTTAATCCTATATTTGTAAATGAACAAATTCGGTACTTCAGTAAAATAGATCTGAAGTCCGGGTACCATCAGATTGCAATCCGGCCCGAGGATCAACACAAAACCGCATTTCAGACCAGGTATGGTCTATACGAGTTTGTGGTGATGCCTTTTGGTCTTTGCAATGCTCCTGGCACCTTTCAGCATGCTATGAATCGGATATTCCATGACTACTTGGATAAGTTTGTCATCGTGTACCTCGATGACATACTTATTTTTAGTAAGACTGTCGAGGAACACGTAGCACACTTAGACAAAGTTCTCAGTCTCCTGCGACAGCACCAGTTCAAGATCAACGGTGAAAAGTGCGAGTTTGGCCGCACCCGTACTTGGGTCATGAGATCTCCGCGGAAGGGTTGAAGCCCGATGACGCGAAGGTGGCCAGCATTCGTGATTGGCCACGTCCTCAGTCTGTGACTGAGATGAGATCTTTCTWAGGAATGACAGGCTACTATAGGACTTTCGTTAAGAACTATAGCATTGTGGCCGCTCCTTTGACTGATCTGACCCGCCTTGACACCCTTTGGGAGTGGACAGATGAGTGCGAGGCTGCTTTCAGACATCTGAAGCATGCATTGACGCACTATGAAGTCTTGAAGCTACCCGATCCTGATAAGCCATTTATAGTAGCCACGGATGCTAGCCAATATGGCATTGGCGTCGTGCTTGCGCAGCAGGAGGGACCAAAGTTGAGGCCAGTAGAGTACATGTCCAAGAAAATGCCGTCTCAGAAGTTGGCTAAGTCCACCTATGAGAAGGAACTCTATGCCGTTTACAAGGCTCTGACCCATTGGAGACACTACCTCCTTGGGYGGTTCTTCATCCTCCGGACTGATCATCAGACCCTGAGATGGATGAGAACACAGCCAGTACTTTCTGACGCTCTCAAGCGTTGGATCGAAGTCATTGAGCAATATGACTTTGACCCTCAGTATCTCAAAGGGGAGTACAACAAGGTTGCTGATGCCTTGTCGCGCAGACCGGACTTCTCAGGTGCGCTGATTACTGAGTTCGGTCTGACGGACGATGTTACTCAGTCTTTGGCGGAAGCCTATCGTCAGGACCAGTTTATGTCTGAGATCATACGCAGACTTGAGGCGAAGGATAAAAAGACCTCCGCCGAGTTTGAGTTGGTCAATGGATTGCTGTTCCTAGAGAAGGCAGGGGATAAACGCTTGTGCGTTCCAAATAGCGAGTCTTTGCGTAGTTTGTTTTTAGGCGAGTGTCATGATGCCACCGGCCATTTTGGGTACATGAAGACCGCAGCCAACTTGCTGCAGCGGTTCTGGAGGCCAACGATGATGAAAGATGCACAGTTGTACGTGGAAACTTGTCAAGTATGCCAGAGAAACAAGCCCCGTACTCAGGCTCCTCTTGGGCTGCTCAAGCCCCTTCCGATTCCGGAAAGGCCGGGTGAAAGTTTATCCATGGACTTCATGGATACGCTGGTCACCAGCAAGAGTGGGATGAGACAGATCTTTGTCATCGTGGATAGGTTTAGTAAGTTTGCTAGATTAATAGCTATGCCAGAAACAGCAAAGACCGAATACGTGATCAGGCTATTTAAAGAAAACTGGGTTAGAGACTTTGGACTGCCGAAGTCTATAGTCAGTGACAGGGACGTCAGGTTCACGAGTGAATTATGGAAGGCCGCTGCAGCTGAACAAGGAACTCAAATGCAGATGACTTCTGGAAATCATCCAGAAGCTAATGGTCAGGCTGAACAAATGAACCGCGCTGTGCAACACCTGTTGAGGCACTACATCAAGCCCAATCAGGTAGACTGGGACGAAAAGCTTGCTCTAGTCGCTAGTCTATATAACAACATTGTGCACAGTGCTACCGGGACGAGTCCTAACAGTCTACAACTGACATTCAAGCCTAGACTGCCCTTAGATTTCCTACTTCCAGACAACCAGCCAACTGCTACACCGGGCACTCTGGAGTTCGCCTATAGATATGAACAGAAGATGTAGGAGGYTGTAGAACACATGCAGAAGGCACAGGCAGCAATGATAGAGTCTGAGAATAGACACCGCCGCCCTTCTACATTTCCGGTAGGGGACAGAGTCTGGGTCAAATCTTCAGAACTGGGACATGAGTTCGGGATATCCCACAAACTCATGCCTCAGTACTTTGGACCTTGGGAAGTTTTAGACGTAGTAGGGACAGATTCTGATGGTCCATCATATGTCATCCGTATCCCTGGTCATTTCAGAACTTACCCAGTCTTTCACGCCTCTAAGCTCGCTGCATTCGAGGAAACTGATCAGTTTCCCTCTCGTCGATCCATGCTGCCCCCAACCATGGACGGAGAAGTCGACATCGATGATATCGTTGACCACAGGGAGATGCCWGTTCAAAAGCCTCCAGGAAGGGGACGTCCTCCAAAGCCAAAGCTGCAGTTCCGAGTCCACTTCAGACATCATACAGATCCGAAGGAGGACCGCTGGTTTACTTGGGAGGAACTGATGCAGACCGCTCCTCAAATCGTTGTCCGCTATGAGAAGGATGTACTGAAAGGAAAGCGCCAGATGGCTACAGATTGATCTTTGAAGAGGACTAACGAAGATATGGAGGAGGGAATGYGAGGCTACGCCCGCTTAGCCCCTACGGGGCCCTATCTGCAACAAGGTCGGCCGCCCTAAGTGAAGGCAGGCACGACAGGCCCTTCAGGCCTCATTCTTCACGGTACCCCTCAACGGGGAAATTCAGACAGTTGCGTTGCGCCAGTTGGTTGAATGAATCTAGGCCCTCGGCCGCCTGTGTAAATGAATGTGAAGCAGGCCCTGGGCTGGATACGGGTACCGGGCCAAACACAGGCCGAAAGCAGTTGGGCGCATGCAACCACTTCAGGCCCAAGGCCTGCTCTCTTCGTGACTGGGCCTGTGCCTACCGGGGCCTACCGGAAGCTTCCTGGACTGGACGCAGGCAGGCCACTTCGATATAGGGAAGGGCCTGCCTCCTCATTCGGCATTCGGGTGCT